TTTTTTTAAAGAAATGATAAATACAGCCTCCTCAGTGGGGTGTCTACTTGATAATTACGGTGATTGAGCATCTGGAAAGTTGTCTCTGGAGCATGGTCCCACTAGCAATGGGGATAGGATTGAGATCCTGAATCTGGGCGTGTTTTAGGCAGAGATGCAGACAAGGAGTTCAATCTCGATTTTCTGCACTTGTCCACAAATGCGACCAAATTAAGGCGTTCAATCCAATCCTCTTTGCTAGTGGGACCTCGCCCCTGTGAGCAGTGCTTTTGAATCTTTGATAATTTGATTCTTGCGGCCTTGATGGGGAGAAGCATGAGTGTTTTTTTTTTTTGTTTTGTTTTGGTCTTGGGAGGCCCCATCTATTGGTGGGGGGCGTCACCTGCTGGAAAACGGGTCCAGCGTGATGTGCTTGTGTTTCTCAGAACTTTTTCCTTTTTTTTTTTTTTTTTTTCTCTCCATAATGTCAGATTGGTGTACCTACCGCTGACAGGGATATTAAGAGCCCATGCCTGTTGTAGCTGGCAGTAGGCCAAGGGCTCCAGCGTTAAACGTGGGGAGTAGCACGTGCTGGGAACGGGGCCCAGCGTCCCGTATATACCACAAGAATATTAGGCACCATCCCCCCTTGCTAGCCCCTTTTTTTTGCTGTTTTGAGCCCATCCCCTGTAGCCATTTGCCCCTGGCCCCTGTATCAGGGGAGTCGCTTTTTGCTGTCGTCATGCTCCTTGGGTTCTGGTGAGTTGGACTGCTGCTTCCGAGACTAGATGTTATTTTTGAGAAAAAAGCCCTGGAGGGGTCTGCCACGATAGTAGCTGATGTCATCGCGGCCATTGTGACTATTATGATTATCCAAGACAAAAAATTCAAAAAATAGCAAAAAAAATGGTGATCGTAATGATCCCTTTCTCTTGAGCAGTATGACATCCGTTAAAATTGGAATGATACAGAGAAGATAAGCATGGCCCCTGCCCAAGGATGACATGCATAAATCGAGACATGGTCCAATTTTTTTTCTTTTGTCGAAAAAAAAAAAAAAGGAACTTCCCACAACTGTTTTCTTATGTACTCCAAATTCAATCTGTATAAGGGACTCTGGACCGGCTTTTCAGCAGGTGCTGCTCCCCACCAATAGATGGAGCCTCTCCCCAGGTGCTAGTGGTGTCTGCTCTTATCAGCACCACTAACACTGGAGGGGGAGTGTTAAAAAAAAAAACCTTGTGTTAAGGGCATACTGCCATTCAATTTGGCTCTTTTCTGACTGAATCTGGCTAGCATTCTGGTCAGATGAGCTGGGAAATTGTGGGGTGCAACTGCACTAAGGCTTGGACCCCACCCGAAAAACAATGGAAAAATAGCCAGGCCAAAAAGAACGGGAACAGACTTTTTTTTTTTGAAAAAATTTGGACCGTTTCTCTATTTATGTGTGTCATCCTTGCGCAGCGGCCTGGACCCACTAGCAAGGTATTCTACCACGCCGTCAGGACTTCGATCACGTGTGGCATAGAGTGACTCAGTACGGCCGTCGGATCATGGCTACGATCTGGACGTCCAGACCGCCATCCAGACGGTCCGGATCCAGACCGGAGTCCAGACGTCCGGTCTGGGAGGTTCGGATCCTCAGAAATTTGGCCAAAAAAAAAGAATCGGGGGGTTGGCCAGGACCCTCCCTGACATTGGCGCGGACCCCCAAAAATTGTTGCTGGGGTTTTTCAGGGCCGTTTCGATTTTTTTTTGGCTTCCGGACATGAGAGAAACAGGGAGTTCGATTTTTTTTTTTTTTTTTTTGGGGGGTTTCGTGACTTCAGCTGTTCGGTCCAATGAGGCCGTTGTTTTGGCGGCCTCGTTCGGGTGGGGGCTAGCGGGAGGGGTCGACTCCGTTCGAAACTCACTTCCGACTTCCCGCCCTCGCTTCAACCTGACGGGAGCCACCCGACAGCGCCCATCGCCGTGGGGCCCTCCATCGCTGCGCGTCTTCCAGCGGGGGCGCTGAAGCTCGCGACACACACACACACACACACACACACACACACACACACACACACAC